AACCAAAAAAAAAAAAAAAAAAAAAAAAAAGAAAGAAATCGTGCAAAACAAATGTGGGTGCATTTCCCCTTTCCACAAACTTCCACCCATACACACTGACACACTTTCCCTTTTTGCCAAATTTCTTTACGCAGTCTCTCACAACCTGACACTCTCTGACACAAATTATCACATAGCCCACATTCCTTCTGAACACTTCGTTACATCTACAGCTTCCTGTTATCCACCTGTCGAACATAGCCAGCACCAGATGTCGACGAAACATGGCGTTTCTGGGCAAGTCTCGGCCGCCCGTTTGACAATCGGACAATGGGAAAAGGGCCACAGCAGCCAGGGTTAACAGATAGTAGATATCAGAAGAAAACTGGATGACCATCATCTGCAGATGTAGTGCCAGCACACGATTTCGCCTGATCTGGAGATGGCATACAGCATGGCAACTTTACATTCAAAACCTCATCCATCAAGAGTCTACATGAGAGAGAACACATCTCCAGACTCTTCAACCCCATGTAAATATGATGCCTCGCAAAGACTTCAGGCCAAGCACAGTGGAGAAAAAATTGAGTGCATTTAAGCGCATATCATGAACTTCCTAATGACTAGATTCAAGAGGATATACAATTGACTACCAAGATCACCTCATTTTGTTCCGGCAAATCCTTTCAGCAGAAATAGCATCAGAAGGAAGAGAACATAATATTGGAACAGCATGTTGCCTGACCAAAGGACCCAATCTAGCAAAGCACCTAGCCCAATCACTATCGATCCACGGAAGAGCCCACACGATCTCCGCACACTTCAGCCCCATGAATATCGGATACCCTGGCAAATGCTTTGGATCAAGCACAGCGAGAAGAAATGTGGCATTATCAATGTCATAGTACAACTAGATCCAAAAGCCCATGTCAGGGAGACCACGAACCACGGACAATGAAAGACAAAGTGAGAAAGAAGAGCACAAGGGAAGAGGGAGAACCATATGGTTGGGCAGGGAGGTAAGAGAAGGGGGTGGGGTGGTGGGGGAGCGAGACGGAAGACATGAGAGGGAGAGCGGGGAAGGGGGGATGCACACCGTGTTTGGGGAGGGGACAACAGGGAATGGAAGAGAGGAAAATGGAAAAAGGAAAATGGTCAAAGGGGGGCATAAACGAGAAGTGGGAGCTCATGTATGGAGGGCTGAAATACAGAAAAAATACAAACAGCGACAAACATACAACTATCAATTGTTTGCATACACATAAGGGTGAATGTAAGGCAATAACGAGAACAAACCTCGGTAATAAGACCGGCTTCGAGGTAATGTGCTGCCAATTCATAACGCAATGCCCCCTCCCTGACGAGAGAATGTGCTGAACTTTGAATCTGCAGGGTGGAAATGTGAGCAAACCATGCATGAGGCAATTGATTCAACTGAATCCCCACAAGAGCACAACAGCTGTACCTAGCTGATGGCTGAATCATACAAACCTCAATTTTTTTTTCAACCCACAGGTTAAAGTTACCATCTGTACTGACATAGTTATGTTATCCACATTGTTATGTTACTCAAATTGACCTGGGTTCTCATGAGAGGTGGAGAGGACTCATTGTGTCGAATGAGTTATGTTATCCACATTGTGTAGAATGATGATATTGAGGTCTTGTGGGTACAGTGAGCTGGAACTGGTTTTTCCAAAAGCAATTCAAACCACCACAATTGGTTTCTGGACACCCAACTTATGCCCGGGTACACGCCCCGGTGCCTGGCCGGGTACACGCCCCGAAAAACAGCCTAGATATTCACACCGCCCTATGATATCTAGGCATCACGGTCAACAAGGATTGAACCTGGCCCGACATAGGTCAAAACTTGGTGGCTGAGGCACTCATTAGGTTGGTAGCGCGTGTCAAAAGCCCAAGCCTCACTCCACGGCAGGGTCCTAATCACAAACTCATCAGTGGTTTCAACGCTCTTGTACATGTCTTCCATATGGTCGCCACCAGACCAAGCACTGAAAGAACTAAACAAAATAGTCAGATGTTTCACATGGACACGAGACCCCAAGCGCTTGTACAACGTCTCTAATCTAATTARATTAGATTAGAATAGAATGTCGGTCGACTGTATATTTGAACACAGAACAGCTCCCTAGGTTGGATTCGAACGACCCAATAGATAGGGTAAGCAGTGTGTGTAATCTGACTAAGCTTCCCTCCGAACCGTGCGTGCAAGATTAAACAGTCCTGCATTAAAAAAATAGCCAGGCACTGCATCACAAGGAAGCCAAAAGAGGGTGGTCTGGCACTACGAGGGCCAAAACACAGGAGGCCTCCGCTGAGATGGGTAGTCAAACTCCTGCATCGCTGCTACCTTTCCTGCACCAGAATGGCCTTGAACAGCATCCCAAGAGAGAAAGGAGGACCCATAACGCCCTAACCAATGCCAAACCTATACCTTGTTGGGCTTCCATACTCCTTGCCTTGCAGAAATTAATCCCTGCAATGTCTCAGAAACCAAGAATCAAAGAAGAGGGCCTTCCAGGTTGGCTGATCCTCATCACACAACAAATCCCTAACAGAGCCTTCTGCAAGGAAGATGAGCAATAGCGAATTCCAGAACTCAAACAGCATCATACATGAGTGACCAAATAGCCATGACCTCGAACCATAAGCAGAATGGCATCACGAGTTATACCAAATAAGAACACAGCAATAGTTCATAATTGACAATGCTGAAGTTGTCTCTCATCATCATCAACAAAGAACAAGAGTTGGTATCCTATTGGCGCTCGGCGCCCAGACTACAAGATGGCAGATCCTATCTAGCCTACTACT